TTGTATGTACTGAGAGGGAGGGGAGAGGCTGGGGGTGGAGGTGGCTGGAGAGAATCAGGAGATGTGATGGGACTGGTGAGGGGAAGTGGGGGTGAGGTGGGAGTTGCCAAAAAATATGGTAGAGAAAAGTAGCCAGTAGGAAATTTCAAGTGACAAGGGGTTTTTAAGAAAGGGAACATTTAGTGAGTGAAGTGAAAGTTCCTCAGCCGTGTCTGACTCTTGGCGACCCCATGGACTATACAGTCCAAGAAATTCTCCAGGCCAGAATACTGGAGTGGGTAGCCTTTCCCTTCTCCAGGGGATCTTCCCAACCCAGGGATCGAACCTAGGTCTTCCACATTGCAGGTGGATTCTTTACCAGCTGAGCCACAAGAGAAGCCCAAATATTTAGTATCTCTCTTTAAAAACTGTGTACCTCTGCAAGGTAAAAAGGCTCCATGGTTTTGAACCTCAAGAAAGCCTGCTCCTCACTTATATGTGGTATGTGGCCAATTTGGGGGAGACCAAAGGAGGACTGAACCCCATTCCTGAGCTGTAGCTTGCCTGGAGGTGAGAACAGAGAACCGGTACAAGAAGTGAGACACAGTGAGACTGTGAGCCCAGCATGCAGATCTTGTAGCAGGAGTGATACTGGGACTGGACGCCTCTGGAAATTCACAGAAATTTAGGCAGAGATGAGGACACTAACTCTCAAGGAATAAGCTAAATCCAAGTGACACATGTGTTATAATAACTGTATATATATATATATTATTTTTTTTTTTTTTGCTGCACATGCTTTCTCTGGTTGCAGTGAGCAGGGCCGACTCTGGCTGCAGTGTGCGGGTTTCTCATTGCGAAGGCTCCTCCGGTTGTGGAACACAGGCTCTAGGGCGCTTGGGCTTCGGTAGCTGTGGCGTGTGAGCACAGTAGTTGTAGCTCTCGGGCCCTGGAGCACATGTGTAATAGCTGTGGCACATGGGTTTAGTTGCTCCATGGCATGCGGGATCTTCCCGGATCAGGGATGGAACCCACGTCACTCACATTGGCAGGCGGATTTTTTACCACTGAGCCACCAGGAAAGCCCTAATAACTTTATATTTATCAGAACTTTAATCGGTTCACCTGCAAACTTGAACTTTCAACCTTAATTTCCCCTTAAGGTGTAAAGTTCACTAACTCAGGATTCTCTTCCTATACGGGTTTTTGTTTGTTTGAATGTTGTATATGTTGACAACTCCAGGAAATAAAAGAAATAAAAGAAATCCAGTTGCCTCTGTTCCTATGTTGGAAACAAAGCCTGTCTCAGCAGTCCCTTAGAGGAGGAGGTGCTTTAGAGATAAATCTGTTCTCTGTCCCAACCCTCACACCTCATCAGAAATGGGAAAAACCATATGAAATCCATTTTTGGTCCTAAAGCCTTGAAGTCACATGGGGCTCAAACACCTGGTGAGAAAACAGCCACTTTCTCCCCTACTGCTCGTCTTGGTGGTTTTGATCTTTCAGTGACTCTAGAGCTGTTCAGCGCTCAGCAAGTAGAAGAAGGCCTTAATACTTTTACACACCTGTCCCGCCAGAAGGCTCTCATAAGCTTCTCAGTACCAGTGAGAACAGCCAAACTAGATGTCTGCTCATACAGGAAAAAAGATCTGGGCTCCTTGCTTTTAAATTGGGTTAACACAAATCAACTGAAGTAACATATGTCAAGTGCCTGTAATGTTCCATGTGCCGTGTGAAGTACTTTGCATCTGTTTTTATTTTATCTAGGAGCTCACAGCTCGGTGTCACCAACATCCTGATTTTCTTTGAACTGACCGCCTTTAGCACTGACAGCTCCATGTCCTTTGTCCTGGGAAAGCCCTCTGTCCCAGCAAACTACAACAGTCTGTCACCCTACAACAGTCTTCCACTCTACAGATGAAGACGCTGAGACCCCAGTCCCCACACACCAGGTTGGGCTTGACCTGTCTCCTTTCTCTTAGATCTGGGCTCCAGTTCTTAGCACCAGCCAAGAAGAGCCAAAGGGCAATCATATTTCTACAGCTGCTCTTCACCCCCTTGCTCCTAATAGCTTCTCCAGAGGCTCTCTGAGCCAGAGAATGCATTCTTTCAAGGGAAGGAAGCATGGCTCTTACTGATTCTCACCACAGCTTGATGGTTCTATTCCCTGTATATGTTCTGCTAGAGTAAAACCTGGAGGAAGGGGTGGCCAAAATAATATTCATATTGGAGGAAGGGGTGGAGATGGGACAAATAATCCTATGCTGTGGCATATTATATTATGGGGTAACTACTATCTACCTATCCCTTTCATCATAAGGTAGTTTGGCTGCTTGAAAAAATATAATTCTTAGCCTATGTCCAACTGGTCATGACTGACTGGTGATGACTTACACAGGGCAGAAGTGTAATAGAAGAGGCACACACGGGTTTTGGAGTCTACTGATGTTTTCAACTTCTAGCTTCACTGATTCCTTCTGTACCACGCTACATCTCTTTGAACCTTGATTTCTCAATCTGAAGATGAGGATAATAATACCTCCTTTTTATTAATGTGACACATTTAGTTAACAAAATTATAATGAAATATCATTTCACGGTATAAATCTCTTTCACACACATCATCTGGCTGGATTCCTGTTGCTGTTTTGTGAGGCAGGAACTAAAGGAGTCACCTGTCAATGCTTCAGCTACACAGCCTGCTTTACTCTCAGGCCTAGCTATGTCTAGCCCCCGTGCCCGGCCCACCCCCTGACCCCATTCTGCACAATTCCTCTCTTCTGTAAAGCTAGGTCCTCTTCGACTTTGTGGCCAGCTGAAATGCCTGCCTGGGCTGTCTGAATGGATTCACAGAATAGACAAGGCTCTCAGAGAGGAAAAACACATCTGGTCAGTTGCCCTGCAGCAAAGAAAAGTGGCAGATTCAGGCAATTACCTAGATGATGCAGTACAATGATTTGGGACTTCTGTTTTCCTTTCCTCAGGTCACTGTCACTGACCCAGGGATCTCACAGAGTAGGGTTTATATTTGTATCACACACACAATGCCCCCTTTGATTTAGAAGAAGTGAAGGACAGAGGAGTGGACCTCTACCACCCCTAAGAGAATGGCTGGAACAAGTTCAGCTGCCATGGGTAAAAACTAACTGTGACTGTTGACTTTGCTTTCAGGCTTTGTAGTCCCCTTAAATCAAGAATGTCTGGAACTGGGGCCTGGAAAGTATTCTTAGAGGTAGGTGGGTTCTATCAGAGTTTTTAAAGTTCGTGTTTCCATTTTGAAGATAATCTTTAAAAGATTTATTTTATTAGCTATAAGGATAAAACTTATGTCATAATAAAAACTGTAAGATATTTTATGGATAAAAGCCTTAATGAATTAACATAGTATTTCTCAAACTGGGATTTTTATGGTCCCTTGGGGCTCTACAAATATACAAATGCATTTTCATGAATCTACAGTAAGTTATTTTCCCTTTAAAAGAAGTTCTTACTTTATCCAAGCTTGAAAGACATGGCCTGAAATTTCCTGTCTTCCTATGCCTTCCCACTGTCTCCCCTGTTCTTCAGCCATGCCTTGTGCCGTGCCTGGGAATAGCAGGCTGTGTGTGCAATAACTGAATGTGCAAATGTACCAAAGGATTCTCCTTTCTCTCCCCTTTGGTTTCCAGTTAAAACCAGTGTCCCCTTAACTCAACCAGAAACCATCCAAACAACACAAAATCCACCATTCACGACCACTTCTGTGAAGTACCGTGTTGCATCAATAAATACCATTTGCAGAGAGTACCAGCTCTAACCCACTTTCCTCTTTCCTGAGTGAGGAAGGACCCAGCAGACTCCACTTTTAAAGCGTGACTGCATCCCTGAATGTGGTGGGGTGACAAGGAAATGCTCCAGAGAGTGAGGGAGGCATCCAGACCCAACCTGGGGAGCAGGCTTCCTATCAGGCCTGCCCTCCTTTGGCTCTCGGATATGCCAACCCCAGGATATGTATGTGTGCACATGCTTGTGTAGCGTGTTTGTGTGTATGCGTATCAGAGCTCATTTCTCACACTAGACACCGCCAAAGGACTCCCCGTTAACCCGTCTCCCACATAGGCACAGAAGCCACAGGCCTTGGTAGACCTGGTGCCAATAACCGCAGTTGTTCAGGGCGGTGCTGGGATGGGGTGATTCAGATGGTCTTTGCCAGCGTGTATGTCACAGTCTCCTACAGGAATGTTAAGAGGCTGCTACTGCTTGACATTCCTTTGAAGGTTCAGATGGTAAAATAACTCATTTTGCTTTGTTCAAGACCATGGAAATGTATAGTAGAAACCAACTAGAGGCTATTTATTTCACAGATTTGGGATGTGCTGCAGGTGAAATCATATCTCTAGAAACAGAGAAGACGCAAAGTGATAAAATGTCACAGCAGCTGTGCTCTAGTCTTTTCACTCCTCTTAAGATTGATCTTTTTCTTTCCACAGGAAGGAACAAAAGACTGCTTTTTAAACAAGCCCAGAACTGATTCCTGCAGCAGCAGAGGCATGCCTCAGGGGCTCTGCTGACCTGGGAGAAAGCCTCCAGGACTCTGGAAACTGTGGTGCAGGGAGCCCAGACAATTCCAGACCATTCCTTCAAGCTCAGGTGAAGAGAGAGGGTGGAGGTAATGCAACAAAGAATTCGATTTACTGAGCACAACACCTCACACCAGTCATGTTTGTTATTGGTTCTTAGTGCGGCTGGAAATTCGCCCTTAGGAATTTAGAAACAGGAAATAATTCTGAGAATTAAACCATGAAATCAAGGCGGAATGCGCCAGAGCGGAGGTCTCAAAGTTCCCAGCGATGACAGGGGCTCAGCCTGACTAAAGGGGCTCTCTGAGCAGGAGCTGGTCTGCTGTGGCGGCAGAGAGAGCGGCCTAAGAGGCCTGAGCCACGAGGGGCGTTCCTCACATTCTCCTGAGAGTTCCCGTCCCCTGCCTCGCCCTGTCTGGACCCCCCCAGCAGGTGGCCCCCAGAATGTTCCCCAAAACTCACGTGTCTTGCTGACATGGTCCACACCGCTGCCCGCGCTGGCCAGCCCCTGCCGTGGCTTGTCTGGCCGCAAGCCCCAGCGGACCTTCTGCAGGCCTGGAAGCTGCCCCTTCTGGTCTCTTTTCCTGTGAGGGTAACTGGGAACGGAAAGCCCGATGTGAATGGAACGGCAGTCTGTGGGCACAGAATAAAAGAGAGGGTAGGCAGAGTTACCGAAAGCTGGCATTTCTCCTTAATATCCTCCAGTTACAAAGAGCTGACGCCACTGGAAAAGGTCAAAAGACATGGGATTCCTGGACAGGGCCACTGGGCTTGGCAGAATTCCAATTCTGAACCAACTCAGCGGGTGCTGGAAGCAGGGACCTTTGGGCCTATAGTTGGAATTCTTTCAGAAGGAGCAGAACTCCCATCTCCCCATTCTTGCTAGTCCAGAGCAGCAACGACTACATATGATTTATGACACATGGGCCAGGAGAGAGGCCTCCAGCAGGTCACAGATTTAGTCCAAAACGCCAAGTCTCAGCTTTGATTGTTATTGCAGGCCTGGAAGCTGCCCCTTCTGGTCTCTTTTCCTGTGAGGGTAACTGGGAACGGAAAGCCCGATGTGAATGGAACGGCAGTCTGCGGGCACAGAATAAAAGAGAGGGTAGGCAGAGTTACCGAAAGCTGGCATTTCTCCTTAATACCCTCCAGTTACAAAGAGCTGAGGCCACTGGAAAAGGTCAAAAGACATGGGATTCCTGGACAGGGCCACTGGGCTTGGCAGAATTCCAATTCTGAACCAACTCAGCGGTTGCTGGAAGCGGGGACCTTTGGGCCTATCGTTGGAATTCTTTCAGAAGGAGCAGAACTCCCATCTCCCCATTCTTGCTAGTCCAGAGCAGCAGCGACTACATATGATTTATGACACATGGGCCAGGAGAGAGGCCTCCAGCAGGTCACAGATTTAGTCCAAAACGCCAAGTCTCAGCTTTGATTGTTAATGGGGAAACCGTATGCATTTCCATCAAGGCCATTTTTACTAACAACCAAGGACCATGTGAACTACTACTTATCAGAGAAGCGAGTTATTAAGAATTTCTCAAAAATGATCTTGTAAGCTAGAATTTTCGAGAGCTAGCAAGGACCCTAATTGAGAATTCCACTGATAAGCCTGACTGCTCTATAAAGGCACCACTAAGTCTTTGCTCAAACAGGCATCTGCAGTCCCCTCAGCTCTCCAGAAAGACCTTCTGCTATCAGGTTCTCATCTATATTGTCTCCAGTTGGTCAATAATTTTTAAAATAATTAATAGCTCTTTAGTACAATTTTAGATTTACAGAGTAATTGAGCAGATGGTACATTAAGTTCCATGTACCTACTTCAACCATACTGCCACCTCCACAGTTTTCCCTATTATTATTTTTAAATTGGGATATGATTGACATATAATATTATATTAATTTAAGGTGTATACTATAATGATTTGATATATGTATATCTGCAAAATGACAATCACAACAGTAAGTTCAGTCAACATCCATCACCACACAAAGTTATGAATATTTTTCTTGGGATGAGAACTTTCAAAATTTAGTCTCTTAGCAACTTTCAAGCATATAATACGGTATTATTAACTATAGCCACCGTACTGTACATCCTAAAGGAGATCAGTCCAGGGTGTTCTTTGGAAGGACTGATGTTGAAGCTGAAACTCCCAATACTTTGGCCACCTGATGAGAAGAGCTGGTTCATTGGAAAAGACCCTGATGCTGGGAAAGATTGAGGGCAGGAGAAGGGGACAACGGAGGATGAGATGGTTGGATGGCGTCACCGACTCAATGGACATGGGTTTGGGTGGACTCCAGGAGCTGGTGATGGACAGGGAGGCCTGGCGTGCTGCGGTTCATGGGGTCTCAAAGAGTTGGAGATGACTGAGCGACTGAATTGAACTGAACTGTACATTACATTCAGTTATCTTATAACTAAAAGTTTGTGCCCTTTGACCACCTTCAGCCAATTCTCCACCTTCCACCCCCTGCCTCTGGTAAGCACCAACCTGTACTCTGTTTCTATGTCTTTGGACTTTTAGATTCCACATGTAAGTGAGATTATACAGTATTTGTCTCTCTGTCTGACTTATTTCACATAGCATAATACTTTCAAGGTCCATTCATGTTGCAAATGGCAAGATTTCTGTCTATTTTAATAGCTGAATAATGTTCATGTGTATATCACATTTTTTTAAACATTCAATTGCTGATGGACACTTAAGCTATTTCCATGTCTTGACTATTATAAATAATGCTGGAATGAACATGAGAGTACAGATATATTTTCAAGATAATGATTTCATTTTCTTTGAATATATATCCAGAAGTAGAATTGCTGGATCATACAGTAGTTCTGTTACTAATTTTTTGAGGCATCTCCATACTGTTCTCCACAGTGTCTGTACCAATTTGCATTCTGACCAATGATGCAAAATGGTTTCCTTTTCTCCATATCCTTGCCAGCATTTGTTATCCCTTGTCTTAGATATAGCCATCCTAACAGTTGGGAGGTGATATATCTTTGTGGTTTTAGTTTGCATTTCCCTGATCATTAATGGTGTTGAACACGTTTTCATGTATCTGTTGATTGTATGTTTTCTTTGGAATGAATTCTATTCAGTTCTTCTTCCCATTAAAAAAAAATTATTTATTTAGTTGGTTATTTTTGGCTGCACTGGGTCTTTTTGCTGCACACAGGCTTTCTCTGTTTGTGGTGAGCAGGGGCTGCTCTTCTTTGCAGTGTGCGGGCTTCCCATTGCAGTGGTTTCTCTGGTTGTGCAGTACAGGCTCAATAGTTGTGGTGCATAGGTTTAGTTGCTCCATGGCATCTTCCGGGATCTTCCCAGACCAGGGATCAAACCAGCATCCCCTGCATTGCAAGGCCGTCTCTTAACCACTGAACCACCAGGGAAGTCCTTCTTCCCATTTTTTAAAGGCATACTCTTTTTTTTTTGTAGTTGAGTTTTATAAGATCTTTATATATTTTAGATTTAACCCCTTATCAGATATATGATTTGCAAATATTTTCTCCTACTCCATAGGTTGACTTTTTGTTTTGTTGACAGTTCCTTTGCTATGCAGAAGCTTTTTAGCTTGATATAGTTTAACTCATCTTTTTATTTTGTTGCTTTTGCTTTTAACATCAAATTTTAAAAGTCATTGCCGAAAATGATATCAAGGAGCTCACCCCTGATGTTTTCTTATAAGAATTTTATGGTTTCATGTTCTACATTCAAGTCTTCACGCCATTTTGAGTTGACTTTTCTGTATGTTGTAAGATAGGAGTCCAGTTTCATTCTTTTATGTGTAGCTGTTTAGTTTTTCCGACATCATTTATTGAAGAGACTATCTTTCCCCATTGTTTATTTTGGTTCCTGTGTTGTAAATTAATTGACTATATACATGTGGGCTTACTTCCAGGCTCTCTATTGATCTTTGTTGATCTATATGTCTGTTTTTATGCCAATACCATGTTGAATACTATAGCTTTGTAATATAGTTTGAAATCAGGAAGTGTGATCTTCAAGCTTTGTTCTTCTTGCTCAAGATTGTGTTAGCTATTTAAGGTCCTTTATAGTTTCATATGAATTTGTGAATTTTTAAAAAATATATCTATGGGGAAAATTATCACTGAAATTTTGATTGGGATTCCATTGAATCTGTAGATTGCTTCAGGTAATATGGACATTTTAACAATATTAATTCTTCCAACCCATGAGCATGGAATATCTTTCCATGTATTTGTGTTGTCTTCAATTTCTTCCATCAATGTTTTATAGTTTTCAGTATAGAGATCTTTAATCTCCTTGGTTAAATTCATTTTTAGGTTTTGACACAATTGTAAATGAAACTATTTTCTTAATTTCTCTTTCTGACAGTTCATTGTTAGTATAGAGAAATGCAACTGATTTTTTGTATATTGATTTTGTATCCTGAAATCTTAATTTTTTTAGTTCTAATGGTTAATTTGGGGGTTTTCTATTTATAATATCATGCCATCTGCAAATAGAGACAGTTTTACTTCTCCCTTTCAAATTTTAAAATTTCTTCTTCTTATCTTTTCTTTCTCTTGCTTAATTGCTCTGGCTGGGGCTTCCAGTACCAGATGCTTGGGCATCACTGACTATGCATGTCACAGTGAAACCACATGAAGCTGAACCTTGAAGAAACATGTCTAAACCTTTTAGAGACAGGTTGGGTGTCCATTCTGCTGAGCAGATTCTGTGTGTGCCTACTCTGGCTGGTGCATTCCTAGGCACTGGAGAGTAAGGTTACCTGGATGTTAGTGTCCAGATCTCTTTAGAATTCCTGCTTACCCCACCACCACATCCTTGCTTGCTCTTCTGGATCCTCAGTCTCCCTTGGGTTAATGGGGTTAATGAGAAATGTGAGGTAGACGTTTTTATGAAGTGCAGCCTCACTTCCTAGTGAACCAGTATCAGAATGTCTGATGCTTTCCCTTCCTTCTGTCCCCCACCCTAAGCCTGAGCAAAGCTAGAATTTGAGGTAAGCCCTGAACACCAATATTTAGAGGTAAGCAGTTCTACTCTAGGTGGCGCTGATGATAAAGAACCCACCTGCCAATGCAGGAGACAGAGAGACACAGGTTTGATCCCTGGGTTGGAAAGATCCCCGGGAGAAGGAAATGGCAACCCACTCCAGTATTCTTGCCTGGAGAATCCCATGGAGAGAGGAAACTGGCGGGCTATAGTCCATGGGGTCGCACAGAGTTGGACACAACTGAAGTGACTTAGTAGGCGGGCAGCCAGCTCTACTCTAAAGGTTTAGCATTCTTGATTCTTTCAATGCTGAGATTGTATTCTCTGCCCTGAGGCCAGGAATGGAGACGGGAAGCAGCAGATGTATCAGAAAGGCCTTTACCCAGTGTTCGCTGCCCTGGATGCTCCCTGGCTTCTTCTCCCCTTCTGTATGACCTTGCTCATCTGGGTCTCAGTGTTCTCATCCATACTGCAGGAATAAAAATTCTCTACCAACTAGGCATGGTTTTTGAGAAGGCAGAATAGAATGGCGAATGGGAACAGGATTATGAGGACTGTGCAAAGAGCATCCTTTTTTAAAAAAATCAGGGGAGATGGCTGTCAGGGACACATTTTCTTTTTGCCCTGGATCTAACTTGTCTTATTTTTCCTACTATAACCATCAGAGTGTGGCTGTTCAGCTGGTGAACTGTAGGGAATCACTAACCCACTCCAGAGCTTCTTTCTTTGCTCTGTACGACCTGTTCTCTCCCTGTGAACATCTTGTAGTTTGGTTCAGGACAGTGCCAGCTTCTTACCACATTCTTCTCCATCAACAGCCGCAGAGCGGTGCTACATGTTCCTCGACTCAGGGAGCATCAAGTTGGACAGGAAGATTGCTATCTCCTTCCAAAAAGGTTGGGGTAGTGCCTCTTTATAAATTCTGTGGCTGCTTTTCTGTAGAATGTAGGATACTTAGGGTCTCTGGGTAAGGAATTCTGGAGCAACAAAAATATCGCCACTCAATACCCTCTTTCAGTGGTTTTAACTGAGCTGCTATTTTTAAACTCTGTAAAATGTTGATATTTGGCATTTAGTATGATTTGTAGAGCTTATAAAATCGAGTTTGATTTTATATTGGGGAAGCTATGCCATAATCCTAGCAAAATCCAAGTTACCGGTCTCCAACCTGACCACATGGTCCCTTTAAGATATGGTTAAAGCTAGTCCCACAAGATCTAGGGTAGACACTGTGGGTGGGTCAGGGGAAAGGGATAAGCTCTGTAGTTTCCCCCAACTGAAAGGGCTGTTATAAAGATATCCAAGGAAAGTCTAGACCCTCTGAGAATTTGCATCAATTTCTCACAGTGACCTTACTTACCTTCCTGATCCTGACATCGCCTCCTGTAGTTAGCGGGGTCCAGCTTCCCTACCCCAGCCTCTTCCTCCTCCACCTTCATAACTATAAAGTAAAAGATGAGCACAACCTCAAAATGTACACAACATAAAAAGGTAGAATTTCAAGGAGAAATGGTCAAATTCATACTCACAGCGAAAGACCTTAGTGCAGATGAAAAAAATTAAGACAAAAGAACATATAAACAAATTGAGGAACCTCAAATACATGTGTGTTGGGGAAAGTGAAAGTGAAAGTCTCTCAGTTGTGTCCAACGCTTTGTGACCCCATGGACTCCACAGTCTATGAAATTCTCCAGGCCAAAATACTGGAGTAGGTAGCCTTTCCCTTTTCTAGGGGATCTTCTCAACCCAGGACTCAAACTGGGGTCTCCTGCATTGCAGGCAAATTCTTTACCAACTGAGCTATCAGGGAAGCCATATGTTGGGGACTATTCCATTTGTACTTGAAAAAAGAGGTGTGCTTTTTCAAGTACAAATGGAATATTTACAAAGAGCACACAAAGAGAGCACATAAACTAGGTCTTGGGAAGGCTTAATAAATTTTAAAGAATCTGTATCATACTTCTATAATATTAATAAGATAACAAAAACAACCCCCCCAAAACTATACATATTATCTGTGGATTCTGCATTCATGAATTCCACAAATCATGAATTTGAATCTATCATGCACTAGCAACTATTTACGTAACATTTACATTGTATTTATGACTTTTTACTTAGTATTTACATTGTTAGATATTATAAGTAATCTAGAGATGATTTAAAGCATACAGGAAAATGGTTTATATACAAATACTATGCTATTTCATATAAGGGACACATGCTATTTCATATAGGCATCACAGATTTTGGTATGGAGGAGGTGAGCCTGAAATAAATCCTCCACAGATACCGAAGAATGACTGTATATATAAACTTTTATTTATAAATGTATATATAATAAATGTATTATACTTACATATATATGGAAACTAAAATAACCTCTAATGATGGATTTTACAGAAAATCACAATGGAAATTATTTCATATTTAGAAGTGAACAATTACAACTTGAAACTTGTGGGGTGTAACATACTTAGAGTGAGAAAGAAGGAAGAAAGGAAAGAAAGAGGGAGAGAGCAGAGTAGAAGGAAAATAAATATGATAAGCATTTAACCAAAGAATCTACAAAAAGAATAAGAGAGAAAAGAAATCAGAATGTTAATATAAAAGATGAAAGCAAAAAGTATGAAATAGAAAACAATCAAGCATATAGATTGTTAATAAATCTGAAGGCAATTATTTGAAAATATTAAAATAGGCAAATCATGCAAGACTAATCAAGAATAATATTCATAAGTAAACATAATTTGGAATGAAAAAGGGATGTAACTACAAATATAGTAGAGAATTTAAAAATTACAAGTGAATGCCTTGAAAAATTTCATGCCAACATATTTAACTTAGATAATAATAGCAACTACTGTTACAATATGCTAGGCACTGTTTTAAATGCTCTGCTCTGCATATATGAATTACTTGAATCTTTGCTATGAAATAAGTAACATTATTGTTCCCATTTTACAGATGAGGAAACTGAGGCACAGAGAACTTAACTGACTGCTTAAATGGGGGAACAGGGATTCAAACCCAGACTGTCTGCAACAGTTTCTGGAACTATAGTTTTTAGACGCAAGGCTAATAAATAGATACTTAATTAGAAAAATAATGGAAATAATCAAATAACTTTAAAGAATTAGGAAACCTGAATTAATCAGTAACCATTAATGGAAAGGGCTTCTCTGGTGGCTCGGTGGTAAGGAATCTGCCTGCCAATGCAGGAGATGTGAGTTTGATCCCTGGTTGGAAAGATTCCCTGGAGAAGGAAATGGCTACCCACTCCAGTATTCTCGCCTGCGACATCCCATGGACAGTGGAGCCTGGCAGGTTATAGTCTAAGGGGTCACAAAAGAGTCAAACATGACTTAGAGACTAAACAATAACAATACTAATTGAAATGGTTATGCTGCCTTTTGAAAAGCATTATTGAAAAGCATTATTGAAACTGCTTTGTACAGTTTACAAAGCTTACCTGCTTTGTACAGATACAAAAGGATCATCATATTATTTTTTCTATTTAAATAATTTTATCTATTATTTTTTCTATTTTTATTGTTTGAAAATTTTCTGTAATGAGAAGAAAAATAAACACCAGAAGAAGACAGGTTATTTTTAATGCTTTACCTGAACCATCAAGTATTACATAGTCTTTAACTTACATAAAATTGCTCTCAAACTAGGGAAAGAGGAGTTGGAGGCCGTCAATATATCTGAAGACCAGGATAAAGGATGTGGCTACAAACAGGAAGGTTGGTTGGAAATCTTTGTAAGACTAAGTTAAATCCTCAGATCTCTCCCCTAAGTTCAGTGTCCTAGAATGGTTCCCCTACCCCAGAAGATGGAAAGGTTAGCTCAGAAGGCCCTCGAATAACTGAGAGCAAGAAGGAGTGATTTCACTGGGGGTAAAAAAGGATTTAATTAAAGATCACTAGCCACTGAGCCCTCTGACTACTCGACTCCTAGAATACTAATGAAGATTACACACTCCAGAGAGGAGGTTGGAGGACTTAAAGATTCTGCCATTTTGGAGTTCTACAAAATGGTAAGGACCCAACTGCCACCCAATTGCCCATCTTTAGTCTATCATTCAAGAACTCCAGGCTGTCAAACATTTGTTTAGTAGTTCTACTCCAAATTATGATGGCCAGCCGAATCACCAGAATGACACAGACCAAAACAAACATGAAAAGACAAAGTCCAAGTAAACAGGAACACTGCAAGCAGCCAAAGAACCATTAAAAAACCATGCAGTTAGCATATTCAAGTGCACTAGAGAGAAACATCATATCCATGACAAAATGAAAAGCAGAATGCAACAAATCTGGAGCTTTTAAAGAATAAGAAAGCAGCAGTGCAGGGAGGAGCAGGTGTGTCTTAGGTCAGGCTCTGGACACAATGCCTCCAAGGGAATCCTTGCATGCATGCGTGCTCAGTCACTTCAGTCGTGTCTGACTCTCTGCGACCCCATGGATCACGGCCCGCCAGGCTCCTCCGTCCATGGGATTCTCCAAGCAAGAATACTGGAGTGGGTTGCCATTTCCTCCTCCAGTGATAAAGAATGAAGTGAGTGAAGTGAGGGATGTGAAGTCATTCAGTCGTGTCCGACTCTTTGCGACCCCATGGACTGCAGCCCACCAGGCTCCCCTGTCCATGGGATTTTCCAGGCAAGAGTACTGGAGTGGGTTGCCATTGCCTTCTCCAAGGGAATCCTTAGAACAATCAATTATTTTTTCTATTTTTATTGTTTGAAAATTTTCTGTAATGAGAAGAAAAATAAACACCAGAAGAAGACAGGTTATTTTTAATGCTTTACCTGAACCATCAAGTATTACATAGTCTTTAACTTACATAAAATTGCTCTCAAACTAGGGAAAGGGGAGTTGGAGGCCGTCAATATATCTGAAGACCAGGATAAAGGACGTGGCTACAAACAGGAAGGTTGGTTGGAAATCTTTGTAAGACTAAGTTAAATCCTCAGATCTCTCCCCTAAGTTCAGTGTCCTAGAATGGTTCCCCTACCCCAGAAGATGGAAAGGTTAGCTCAGAAGGCCCTCGAATAACTGAGAGCAAGAAGGAGTGATTTCACTGGGGGTAAAAAAGGATTTAATTAAAGATCACTAGCCACTGAGCCCTCTGACTACTCGACTCCTAGAATACTAATGAAGATTACACACTCCAGAGAGGAGGTTGGAGGACTTAAAGATTCTGCCATTTTGGAGTTCTACAAAATGGTAAGGACCCAACTGCCACCCAATTGCCCATCTTTAGTCTATCATTCAAGAACTCCAGGCTGTCAAACATTTGTTTAGTAGTTCTACTCCAAATTATGATGGCCAGCCGAATCACCAGAATGACACAGACCAAAACAAACATGAAAAGACAAAGTCCAAGTAAACAGGAACACTGCAAGCAGCCAAAGAACCATTAAAAAACCATGCAGTTAGCATATTCAAGTGCACTAGAGAGAAACATCATATCCATGACAAAATGAAAAGCAGAATGCAACAAATCTGGAGCTTTTAAAGAATAAGAAAGCAGCAGTGCAGGGAGGAGCAGGTGTGTCTTAGGTCAGGCTCTGGACACAATGCCTCCAAGGGAATCCTTGCATGCATGCGTGCTCAGTCACTTCAGTCGTGTCTGACTCTCTGCGACCCCATGGATCACGGCCCGCCAGGCTCCTCCGTCCATGGGATTCTCCAAGCAAGAATACTGGAGTGGGTTGCCATTTCCTCCTCCAGTGATAAAGAATGAAGTGAGTGAAGTGAGGGATGTGAAGTCATTCAGTCGTGTCCGACTCTTTGCGACCCCATGGACTGCAGCCCACCAGGCTCCCCTGTCCATGGGATTTTCCAGGCAAGAGTACTGGAGTGGGTTGCCATTGCCTTCTCCAAGGGAATCCTTAGAACAATCAATTATCTGGATGTGTTTGAATATTTTGAGAGGATACCAAGTTTCTATCAAGAATAAAGAGTTGTAGGAAGGAAAAGCAATCATGGTACATTATGCAAGTCAGTATTTATACAATCATAATAAATAAAAATAAGTGTCAATTTTACCAAAAGTTATAAGCAGAGTTGGTTTTCCACTAATGTGTACTGGTAGCTCCTATAGGTTTGTGGTTTTTTGAAAGTTGATATCTTCCTTCTCAGGCATAGCTGAGGAGTAAAGAGAAGCTGAGTAACAAATCTTTCCCACAAAGAATGCCTCCAGCCACAAAAGGGAAAGGTCATGTGACCAAGGTTGGCCAATTAAATGCTTCCCAGTACCCAGTCACAGACATTGATTCAGAGATGACTCCATGCTCAAATTTGGGCCAATCAGAATTCTTCCCAGGACATTTCCACTTGAGCCATCCAAAAACACTGCCTTGTTCTGGCTCTGCCAATGTGAAGCTGATGAACTTGGGGGCTAATCCCACCTAACCTGTGGAGGAATACTT